AAGGTGAGAACTGTGAACAGGAGGAAGAAACATAGTACACCTCTTCGGCTTGGATCACACAGGACCCAGAAGAAATGGGCCCTCCTTGGACACTTTATGAAGGTACAAAAGTAAGTGAAGTACTTTGCACTTTATAAAGATACAGCCTTTACATTTTCTCTCTCTTCAATATTAACAAACAGAACATATGCTATTAAACAAGTTGACTACATGGATATGCTAAAATGGTAATGCCATGACTTCTTAACTGTGTTATGCACCCTCCTTTGACATACAGTATTGGCTCACTCTTCGGGGAGCTCTTTTGCAGAGCAGACCTGTAAGATCGATGGGAAAGACTGTTTTGCTTCTCATTCTTTGTAATTTTGTTTACTTTCCAGGCAGATTTTGCTTTTATTCTTATTGTTTAAGCTCTTAAATTTATGGCAAGCTGTAGCAAGAGCCAGCTGGCAGCAACCAAAGAGGCTGTGCAAGCTTTTCTCATCCATGGGCTATTGTCCCACCAGCTGCAAGCCGACAGCTGGAGACCAGCATGCAAGACTCTGAGGGGCACCTCACTGTTGTAGGATGTCCCTGAGAGATCATAGGTGACATTCCGCTTCTTCAGGCCATCCAGAAGCTACGTGCCTGCTGCGTCTACAGGATGCTCTTGGAGAAAAGGCCAGACCCAGGGTGTGGTACACACAGCTATTAATTTCTTTGATAACAGTCAAGGAGACTCAAGCACTATTAAATACACTTAACCAGCATCACAGAAAATGTGGGATACCTATTCAGTGACAGAAGTTAGTGGGAACTCTGAGTTATCTCTGCTTTTTTATACAGTCAGAGCTTATCAAAGGACTTTCAGATAAAGGGATTTTCAGAATTCAGGGAACATGTGCCAAGCTTAAATAAAGCACGGGTAGGTAAGTAAATGGAATGATTCTCTTTCAAGCAAGGAGCTTGACCTACTAAACCTGAGAGCTAACTTCTGTGGCTTTCAAGACCAACTCTACTTCTGTGTCAGTTTTTAAACAACTGTTTGCTCTTGCAGTACTGCCTATCATCTGATCTTGCAGTGATGATACAGCACTGAATTTTGACCTTCAGCAAAAGTTGGTCTTAAGAGGATGCCCATGACTAACTTGAGCTAAAAGCTTCCCTCAGATATCCTTTATTTTCACTTCTCTACGTATGTATGTATATGTGCATGTATATACGCACACTTAGCATTACTGTGGAAATCCCACCTCAAAGAAAGTAAGAGATGCATCCTTCAGCAATTGAAAGTCTGCAGTGTAGCTCAGTTTATGAACTCAAGCGTTCACACACAAGCTAGGAGTGAATGGTGGTGGTGACCCCAATGTCAATATCTCATTGGAGCCCCTGTGGGAGAAGGGCCAAAGATTGGTTTTCATTCACAACCCACTCGTATCTTCATATGACTAAGCAAGCCAGCCTGCAAGCAGTCATTCTGGGGCCAGACAAGAGCCCAAGCAATACCTGAAAAGGCTTCTGAACACTCAGGAAGATAGTTTACAAAGTGCCCTTGGCACAGGAGCAAAAACTCAACAGTATCATCTTGTTTAAAATTAACCTCTGGGCTGGGGTACCTACTTGGCTAGAGCATACAAGAGTCTAAAGGTCCCCCTATTCCTTCCCCATATCACCCACCCCCAAAACAAGAAGAAAAGAAGAACCCAAAATAAACTATTTCAGGTAGCAATACAAGACATTAGGACTGTCCACAGTGATGGGCTTACAACACGTAAATAGATTTATTCTACATATAAGCAACAAAAATAGCAAGAAACCCAAGCAACAGACATGTTTTGCTCTGTGTACATCCCAGACTCTGACATGTCTCATGAGTGTCTGCATTTCTGCCAATGATTTGGAAAAAAGAGCCTCAGTCTTCCAGAGAAGCAAATCTTGACTCAAGACTCGTCTCACAACTTTCAGTATTCAATAGAACAGCTCTTATGTCTTGCACTGTTCAGCATGATGCAAGGATCAGATATTAATAGATTTAAAAACAAAAAACAAACAAAAAACAAACAAACAAACAAAAAAAACAACAAAAGAAACCCCAAACAACTTTTACCCCATACACTAACAGCCACCTTTACAAGAACACAACAACAAGAACACAGAAGAACTGAAGAAAATCGGGTGAAAAGGACTGTCTCCAGCAGCATTTCTAACTCAGAAATCAAAGATTTTCCTTAAAGTCAGTAGGAATTTTATATATATTTATATAATATATATATTATTCATATCACTAGCAATCAGCATGTACTTAACAAAGAGGTGATATGAAGAGCAACAAAACTGATACAGCATGTGGTAGACAACTGAAAGGATAAGCACTTTTTAAAAAGTAGCAATAACTGGAAGATAAGAAGCCTGCAGCCATTTCCAAAAACAAATGTGCTCACCTGATGTAAAATGTTAGAATCATAGAATTGCTCAGGTTGGAATGGACCTTAAAGATCATCGAGTCCAACCACAACCTAACCAGACTACTCTAACCCTAACAGCCCTCCACTAAATCATGTCCCTGAGCAAATGTTACAGCGATCTCTAAGCATTTGCTCAATCTGCCAAACTAAGCACAAGTGATGGGACAGACGGTGTTTCTCCGGTTAACGGAGCAGTGTGGCCTTCCTCTCAGGGCGCAGCCCCACGAGATGGCAGTGTGCCCACACCGCACGGCCTCCCACACAACGTGACATCACTGGCAGCCAGCTCGCCTTGCTGCCCACCCTCCTCCTGTGGGGGATGCCACGAGGTCTACTCCCTTCCTTCACAGCATCACCAGGCTCTGCCTCAGGGACTGGGAAAAATTTAAAAAGAGAGAAAGAAAATAGCTTTAGTTGGAGTGGAAGCTCATGTGAGCAGTGGTGGTAATGAGGTGTGGATCTGTGGAAGAAACAAAAGGCAGCTCACACATTCCCTGCAAAGGCAGATGGAGAACTGAACAGAGAAACTGTCCCATTTATGACCGCAGCAAGTTTTGACCAGTCCGGATGGAAGAAGACCAGCTCCATCTCCTGGTGATGGTGATGCCATTGCCCTGTCAGGCAGTGATATCCTTCACTACCATTCATTGTGGATCCCCCTACCTCTCAGTAAATCCTCTTTACAGCAAAACAGCAGAAGGATAATGCCCAAAATTCAGAATATTTTAAGAATATTACTTATCTATTTTTCTTGAAGTGGATATTGAAAGAGTAGGTCAAATAGCTCACACAGAAAGAAGTCTTGAAGTGAACCAGTTAACTCTGAGGTGCTTCCTCACACAGCCCAGTGACAAGGGTGCATGCATTTCACACTATCAAGAGCTCATAGCTGGGAGTACAGGTGAGCCTAGATGTGAGCTAACAAAGACAGGTAAAAGAGGAAGGAGCTGAAATAAAGTAATGGTCATGCACCTGCCCTGGGAAAGGAGTTCCACAGGAAGAAGAATGCATGGGAAGGGTAAAGAAGGGAGGAATGCTAAGACCTACAGCTCTAAGGTGGATTAAAAAATGTAGGAAAAGGCAGAGCTGTCAGGCCTGGTCAAAGCCTCATGAAATCGAAAGCAAGATTCCCACTAGCATTGCAGAGCGCAGCTAGAAAGAAGATGGTTGGTTGTGAAAAAGATGCCCTTGGCATCTCTATGTTTTGGTAAGAACACAGAGGTTTACACAGGCAAAATGTGTAACTTTGAACTGATGATGAAAGTTAAAATTTATGTCCTCAAGTCCCTGGATTTGACTGGAAGTCTGATTTGCATACTGCTGGCTAACCACTGAGAAAATGAGTGCTTTGTGATCACTGCTCAGTGTGTAAAGAAAGTACCACTGGTGTCAGAGAGCTGAGAAATTTAAAAAAAATGTCCCAAGCCAGTGGAAATGTCAAATGGGAAAAAGGTCAGATGAAATTTTCCTTTAATTTTGACCAATGACATTTTCAAAGTTACCTTTAAAGGCACACTTTTGAAAGCCTTGGGTAAAACACACAAAAACAAAACAAAACAAAAAAACAACAAAAGAACTCAAGTCTGAGGAAGAACACTAAGTGGTAATATGTGCATGGGTGGAGGTGGCTGCTGGAGCACAATAGCAATAACCAGGGCCTGGTCTAAACCTGGAGCTGATGATGGGATGGAAAAGAAAGAATTCTTTGCATCAGGAATAGCAGACAAACAGGAATGTAAGTTAAACCACTGCAATCTTGTGTGCTGTGTTGTATTGAAAGGTCAGAATTCACAGAGCAGAAAATGAAATAGGTTTGCAGTGACAACTGATAAAAATAATATTAAGGTCCTTTTGCCAAGTTCCCATTCCACTGGCTTGCAGCAGCCAAGAGGGGTGTAGCAGAGGACCAAATGCACCCAACAGGCTAGCAGGGACCTGCAACACACTGCCCATGCAGGCAAAAAGCTGCATGGGTTGACCACTTCACCACTCAACACTTGTCATGGCTTCTGGCTCGGGAGGAGAATAAGGGATGTGCTGAGTGAGCCTCACGCAGTGGGCACATAAATCAGGTATTCAGTATCAGTGCCTCCATACGCTTGCACTTGTTCTTCTGAACCAGTGGGCTGTGTGTATTTGGCCTGGGAGACTCGATGGGACTGGCCAAGCCATTGCAGACACCTAGGAACCAGATTGCTTCTTGGAGTACTAGCAGACCAGGCAGATGCCAAACATCCCCACTAGGTTCAGATCACTGTCTTCAGTGAATTATTACCAGTTTTTATACCCTTTTTGCATCAAGCAGCATACACAGCAAGGCTAACATGAAATAACCACCCCTTCTGTGCTAGCAGAGGACTCTGGAAGGATGACTGGAGAAGGGAAGGATGGACAGCATATAGAGGAAAACTTAGAAGACCTTCAGGAAGGGGACAATAGGTTCAATAAAAATGGAAACAACTTATCCTGTTGCTGACAAAACTACAAATAAAGTAATAATGATAATAATAATAATAATAATAATAATCCTTGCACTAGATACTAATAAGTAAATAATTATCATCGCAAATTCTCTTTTCTTTTTTCAGGCTTTTTTGTGTTTTTTTTTTGTTGTTGTTTTTTCCCCTCTAACCACTCTGAATTGCATATCCAATCCCACCATATAGCAAAGGGGTAGAAAGGGTCTTGTTACACTTTGAATTGAAAATTGACTCCTACTCTATAGTCCCACTGTCTTACAGCCATTTTCCACCAAGGCTCAGTGGGGGCTCCCGTCAGGGAAAGATGGGAATAGTATGTGTGTTCCTGCTTAGCACCCAGAGTACCTGCTTTCCAGATGCATGCTTCTTAAACACTGATTTTTTTGTTTGTTTTTGTTTTTGTTTTTTTTTACAGGTAGGTCTAGGAAACAGAATAATGACAGGAGGATCATTGTGAGACAATCAGTATTCAGAATTGTAGCCAAAATCTGAATTCACCAGAAAACAATAATCTGAAATAGCCACAACCAACTGTCCACAGCCTTGTTTAGAATGGCTTTGAACAAAAAATATAAAGAGCCATGGACAGTCTCCTTACCCCTGTCCAGAATTTGATGTAAACAACATCCATAGAAACTGGGATTGTTAAGAAAGTTTATCCATATATCTGGATAGCAATAAAAAGCGTTTCCTAGGAAACTGTAAAATCCTGTACCAAGCAGTGTACAGCCAAGCCAAGAGGAACATTAGGTTGATTTATATTTTCAAGGTACAACTTTGCATGATTTCTTTTAGATCCTGTGATAATGTACAAGGAGAGCACATGTGAAGGTCAGGGCTGTATATTTTTTCTGTTTGTTTGCTTGCTTTCTTCTCTGAAATGTCTCTTGTGTAACTCATTGGTCTGGGGTTTTCATTTCAAACATTTGCAATAATGGGGCATTACCGCTCCCTGTGTCTGTCCTTCCTGTTCATGCCAAGGCTGCATCAGTAATTTCCTTCCGCTGCCAAAGAAACGACGGTTTCGTGTCGTCCCATTTCTTCCAGCACTGCTGCCAGCATGCTCAGGTTGCCGTCAGGGAAATTCTGGGCTTCCCAGAGATCCAGGATCACCCCGGTGGGACTTGATTTTGTAGCAAAATAATTTAGGTACCTGCAATGCCAAAAGGAGATTTGTTTCTTTGAGCTGCATGAATTCATACTTTTAGACCATCCCCGTCACTAGTCAGGGTGCTCATCTACTGTGACATTAATCTGAGCAGTCTGAAGGTACGCCTTCTGTCACTCATCTCAGCAAGGTTTTCCTGAAGTCCCTTTGCACCTACCTCCAAGGATGTATTGCCTTCCCATGTTACCCTTCTCACCTGTCCAGTTTCAGCTTGTGAGCCAACATCCTCCAGTCATGGCCCCGGGTCTGGGGTGCATCCAGGCTGCTGCAGAGCTTCTGCCTTATTGGGAGTGGTATGCTGAAGGCGTTGGGCCCAACTATTGTTGTGATGCTGCCTGATGAGTCCATGATGGGATAATCAATGCCAGTGGGTTCCTGATGTTGAAAAGAAGGCAAAAGACAATATAAAATACAGTAGTTTTGTTGCTGAATGCACAAGCGATCACAGAAGTGTATCCTCTAAGAGTCAGTGCTTTTACCTGCACGCATTAGAAGAGCAGCCGCCCTCTGTCAAGCACTTATGTTAGCTGGAAAAGAGCCAGCTCTAGGTAGACATCAGACTTTTGGTTGTCTTATTTTTGAGGATGAACTACGGCTGGACTGCATTGTGCCTTGCTTAATTAATCACTCTCTGTAAATAAATATCAAGCACTTTGTCACATTTCAGAGCAAATTACTACTGCCAGGGCAGTACTGAACTCTCCTAGGTTGGGTGAAATAATAATCTCTCAGAGGTCAATGAGAGATGGTTAATTATTTGAGGCAGAAGCCTGGAAAAAAGCAGGAGTGATTTGTTCTCATTCCACATCTCCTGTTTGAATTTTCAATTGCTCTCATTTGCAGTGTGATCAGCCTGAGGTGATGCTGACAGAAGTGAGGAGAACAACTTTGTCCCTGCCTCTGCTGGAGGGAAGCAAAATATTCATCCTTAAATGTCAATTTATTTGCTCCTCCTTGAGCTGTCCAGTAGTTTCATGTCAAACCGACTGCTGAGAAAGGCTCATAAAGCCATCTTAAAAATCAGGCAATGTTCTGCATTGCAAACTAGTTGCGCCAAGCCCACTGCTCTAGGCCACAAGCTGTTGTCTTTGTCCTCCTCCTCATCCAGCAGTATGGGCTGCAGAAGGACTCGTGTGCTACTGCTGTCACATCCAGGTCCACTGCTGCTGAAGGATCCAGCACTTTATTCCAGCCCTTAGCACCCAAACTCTTTCTGGCCTTCATTTGGGTTGGGCACGTCACTCAGCGTCAACAACAAGGAGCAATTTTGCAATGGGCAGCTTTGATAACTGCAGTATTATTCACTCCTTCTATTCATCCCTGATGGATGGGATCACTGCACAAGACATGAATATTATCCTGTTCCCCCTGCATCTATTACCAGGCCCTATTACACAGAAGCAGCTGAAGATGATTATAGTCTGTATTTGCATTTCATTAAAGTTACTCTCAGTTCTTTCTCTTCTCTGTTAGGTTAAATTAGAGATTACCTCAATGCAGCACTTATTACAGTAATTGTTTATGATACTTGTTTCACCATCTGTCTTTAATGCTGTATAGTCCCAGCTGAAAATGGAGCTTTACACCCAATAACCAAGCAAATGTTATGGGTAATGATGCACACCATCATGGCCCTACAGTACCAACAACCACCAACATGGCCCTACAGTACCAACCTCCCAGCCTTTCCCCAGACCGGCAGCCACTAATGTCTGGGTGCCACAGAACTGTGCAGTAAAAAATACCTCCTCTGCTGCCTCACCTGGCAACTCCAAAGAGATTTGGAGATGAAACCAAAAGTAGATTAGGAGAGTAAATAATAAATAAATGCAATAAAAGATGAGGATGTGTTCGAGGTTTGCTGTGGGAGGTGAATTAATTTTCTAAATGCATTTTGTCCATCTTTGTAAAGAGAAAGCAGCAGCCCTTGAGCAGGGTAACAGCTCATTTACTCTGCTTTTCTGACATATGGGGCTTATAATGCAGTTCTATTCTGTTCCTCTGTGCTGGCCTAGCAGCATCTAAAGGATGACAGTGAACCACAAAATGAAGACAACACCTGAGATCTAGCGGGCACAAAAGCCATCAACACAAACTGATGTCAAGATTGCTTCACACCTGAGTGTGTCACTCACCCTCAGCTAAAATTTTTATGCTATGGCAAAGATGCCCCAAAACTTATGATAATTTTTCTACTGGAAAATGTCACTCAGCAAAAGAAAAACTGTCAAAAATAATAACTGTGATTTGCAGCAGTAGCAAAGTCCGGGGGGACAAGTCTGTTGCAACTAGACCATCTGGTATTCCCTATCTAGAAGCCAGAACCATGCGGTGCTTCATGAGATGTGTTAGGCGATGTTAGGCAAAGAGCTCCTCCATGGAGAAAAACGAATAATCAAGGACACCATTACTGCCCTCCTCCCTCCTTGAAGCAGGGTACTCCATTCCAGATGACAGAGTACAGAGAAAAACTAAGGAAAAACGCAGGAAGAGATATAAAGCAATAACTTAATCTCTCTCTTCTGATGATCTCAACCATCAGGAGGAAAATAAAAAGCACAAAAGAGTCAGTGATGGGAAAGGCTATAACTCCTCAGTCATCCCGTGTTCCCACACTTACACCTCTTACCTCTGATACTGAGCAGTTAAGCTGGAAGATCTGCCCTTCTCCTTCAACTTGCCGCACACAGAGTTTGCAGACTAGCTCCACTGTATTGAGGCTGAATCGTTCCAGCGTGAAGGTACAGTGCAGGTTCCTCTGGCACCCACTCCAGATGTGGTAAAAAGAAATCTCCTGCAGGAGGAAAGAAAAAAGAAAGGAATAGAGTATAAATATCAGTTATTTTCCACAGTCTCTTTTCAGTTGAGGACTAGCTCAGCATTAACATTGCCATAGGGACCATTTTGAGGGACCAAGGCACTGATACTATCTGACTGGAAACTGAGCTCCATGCAACTGCTACTGCAGATAGTCCAGGGAAAAAATGTCCACGGTTCTACAGCTTGGCAACTGGTTTTCTTCAAACAGTGTGTCACTGTATTTCTTTAAGCCCCTAGGATCCAATGTTTTGCGATGCTCACCTGGTATTTAGCCAGCAGTTTGCTCTTCCAGAGAGAGTGGGCAATGTCATGAATGGATAAGCGGAGATTGTGGGTACTTCCCTTAAAATGCAAAGTTTTGGGTTCCTCCAACAGCTGCCCACCCATTTGCCGCTCAAGCTGGAGGACCTCCTGCAGTACAGAGAACAGAAGAGGAAAGAGGTCAGGCCGCGGACAGCACCAAGACATCAGCACTGGTCTGCTGGCTCTTCCAGACTGACTGATTTAGATGCTGTAACTACTTGAGAAAATGCACACACAGGTGTTGCATGAAGTTACTTTTCCCTATGTATAGCACCAGTGGATCCACAGATAATCCTCTTGCCCCCATCACACAGTAGAACCCAGGAGGGATACAGACTCCCTGACTCATGTGGGAGATGCATCATTACCTGATTCATCCTAGGAGCAGCAATACTAACTACATGCAACTATACTGAATGCAAAGATGATGTTACATACTGTTTGAATACTGAAATATATTCACCTTTTCCACAGTTCAGCAAACTGGACATCTAATGCAGCTTTACTCTTTTGTGTCATGAGCTCTTATTTGTGTAGGTACTGCTGGTATAGGACATGTGGATATGCTGTCCTGCAGCTGACAGCCTCCTGGCAAACTGATCCATGACAGAGTGGGATACAGGGGCTTACTGAGACTAACCATTGAATGGGATGGAATCAAAATGAAAGTAAGACACTATGACTGAGCATTTTATATGTACAAATACCTAGATTAAGGGTTACTGAAATATTGAATGTGTAATTAAAAGCTAGAAGATGAAGAGCGTGGTCATTTTCTGCAGCTAAAAATAAAGATATGCCTCTAACAAATGAGATCACAGTGGACCACTGACTACAGAGAAACATTCAAATTGTAATTCACACAGAAGAAGTCAGTACAAAGGCTGCATGAGCTTCATCAGAAGCAAATACAGCCAAACACAGTCATATTTAATTACAAGAGCAGGCCAAACAAGCAGTCTCATGCAGCCAAAGCCAATCACATACGCAGTGAACACACACCAGGAGCACATGGGCACATGAAATTGGGCTGCTAGCCCAGGCTAACAAAAGGAGTCTCGTATTAGCTAAGGGCCACTCTTGATCAAGTTCAGCATCTAGTTAGCACAAAAGAAAAGCCCACACTCCCAGGGAGCCCAGCTCCTGAGAGATCCCAAAGCAAAAACATTTGCTTATCAGCCATTACAGGAAAAGAAAAAGAATCAGGAAACCTTTTAGATTAAGGTTATTCCAATGAGTCAGTTTCACTGCCCCCTAATTACCTCGTCAAGACATCTAAAGAGCAATCGATAGTAATTATCTGATTACTATAGATCTTCATTACATCCAAATTACCGCCCTGGAACAACCAGAAGATTGGCAGCACTGTGTGTGCTAATTGCAGGCTCTCGCTCCCCACCTGTGGTCAGTCCAGAGCCGTGCTACTGCAGGGGCAAAGATCTCAGCACTGCAAATTTGTGTCTGAGATTGATATCCCACCATTAGCAGCCATCTCTATTCACTGTAGCTCCGCCAAGTGGAGGACACCAAGCAGCCCACACTTCTCCAGTTCGGCTCAGCTAATTAATTCAGGGCCACCACCTGAATTAATCCTTTCCATCACCGCTCTCCTCCCTTGTGAGCCAGGACTTGTGCCCTACTCCCTTCCCAAGAGAGGGAACTGCATAGGACATCACTCCATCAGCAGCACCACCAGCACAGCTACAACCTGTGTTGGAAAACAGTTTCCTCATTAAAGGAGCACAGCAAGCAAAGGCAAGAAGGCATCTTTGTTAGAGGGATAAATATGCACTAAATAACTGAGAGAAAATGGCATACTGATTATGGTGGTGTTTTTGTTTTATTTGTTTTTTGTCAGAGAACAGTTATTGCACAGCATGAAGCAGGCTGGAGAAAGCCACCCTGCTACAGCCTGAAATAACTTATTTACCTATGGTGGGCCCAATGCTCTGCCACCATCACCACACATAGCTCAGCCACCTCAGTCTCAAAGCCATACGTGAATTAATAGATGGGAATAAAACAGCAGGATTTCTTCACAACAGATTAGTTTGGGCAACCCTGTCTAAGTGCCTTAAAAAGGATATCAGGGCTCTGGGACATCGCAACCCTCAGTCTTCCCCAGAAAACATTTTATGAGCATCCTATCTAGGCACCATAGCCCACAACATGGTTCTCGTCATGGCCAGAGCACTGGGGCTATCTGGCTTTACAGCCCTAATAAACCAAACTTGATTCCAGCCAAAACCATGACCATGCTCACATTTTTCATTTTGACCTCTCTTTGTTACAACATCTTCCTTCCCAAAACTGTCTGTTTCCAGAAAAATGTAACTTATAGCTTCCAAAGAGCTTCTGGCCAGGAAATGCTTGTGCTAGTCATGCAAAGCCCAGCTATCTTGGTCTTGAATAGAGTGTACAGCAGCTTGTGCATAGCCATTCACTCTTGATGTTAAAGTGCCCAAAAATAGAAAATTAAAAAGGATTGATAGGTACCAGATGACAGTGTTTATCTGACTTCTCTCCGCAACCCTTTCCTCACCAAATTACAAGCTTGCTTTGGGGGGTATACCTGCAGCAGAAAACCCAATAATTGGTCCACTCCACTCCTATAAGTTGATCGCAGCTTCTCCTATGAAAGATGGCTTTCAGTTACCCATGCCCTTCCTGATTTCTTCAGCTGTCTCTTTGAATCAGATTAACATTACCCTGCAATGCCTCCCGCAGTCTATTAGAAATAAACCAATAGCTCTTGAGTATTACCTAATTTGATTGGCCCAGCTCTGACTCAAATCACTATCTGTCCAAGGCTCTGCCCAGTTACTTATTATTCCCTCAGGCTGGATGGACTCCTGGAAAATCGTATTACACAGCACAGGCACCAAAGAGCATAGCCATAAAGCCATGATGGCTTTCAAAGCATTTCCTCATGATCAGTACAAAAAATGCTTTCCACTTCTCTGAAGAAAATTTTCTTATTTATAGTGAAAATGCTCCTAGTATCTCACCAACAAAGCCCAGGCAGGGTCTTGGTAGCTAGCAGTATTTTGGATGAAAAGGGATTGTGCCATTTGCAATGATGGAGACAGGTGAGCTGAAAAGCAAAAGCATCTCCCTGCCAGCCTCTGGGGTGTATGCCCAAACAATTCCCATGCAGTGCTGGTACAGCAAACCCATGCGCAGCATAAGGATGTCTCTGCATAGAGGCAAGATGTGAACTTGTTCTGCTTTAAAAAAGCACTTGGAAAGTCACATCAGCTATGCTTAAAGGAAAAAAAAAATACCTTTTAATAAGCTCCATTCTTACACGTACAGTTGGAGCTACATATTTTATGAGTGTATCTATTATAGATACCATCTGTATAAATACACATTTATAAAGAGGAAAAGGAAGCATGTTTATCTATCTGCTCATCTGTATGTGGAGGGAGTGTGTGTGTATATGAGAACAACAGAATTATGCAGTGAGGGTAAAGAGTACAGTTGCAGTAAGCAACAGCTTTGGTTTATTTTGGTGCTGAACTCCCAGCACAAAATACACAAAGAGGTGTAATGAAGCAGTATGAAAGCAGGCAGTGATTAACAGTCCAGAAGCTTCTTTTATCATTATCAACTATTTACAAAGAGGCATTTATATGTTTCCCCATCTCTGGGGAGCTGGCACTTAGCATTAAAAATACATGAATAACGAATGAAGCCTGGCGTACCTTATGGCCCTTTAATAATGCAAAAATCTTAGGATTCAGGATATGATACAGGTAAACAAAGGAAAAAACGCCGTTGGGTGGAAAACAGTCTGATACACGTGTGAGATCCCTTTACAAAGAACAATTTATAGCTTGGGAAGGTTAAATTGTAAAGCAGCAGTTGCTGTCAGGCTCTCCTGATCAGAAAAATAATCTAGGAAAATAAATACATGTAGCAGAGTGTCTGGTCACTGCATTGCTGTGACGAGAGAGGAAAAGCAAGTATGAGAGCAACAACCACCTTCAAGGCATCCTGTGTGTCATCAAGGCAGTAGACGCGGATGCTGTACTCCAGCGAGGAGCAGGACAGTGGTCCAAAGATGGCGAGTTTGAGACGTTTGGCTGCTGCTTTGGTGATGGACTGTCCCACCAAGGCGTACGTGCTGAGGGTCTCTGTCAGGATATGGCAGGCCTCTGGGTCCAGCTGAATATAGCACGGAGTGGTGAAGTTTTCCTCCCCGACCACCACTACATCCTAAGGGAGAAAGAGGCCATATTAGATCTCCTGACCTCTCAGAGATGCTGTCCTTTCAGATTTCTTTCAAGCCTCAGTGATGCTCAAAGTCCTTGCTGTCTGCATCTTAGATTAACCAGATAATAAATATGAACAAATAGCTGCCCTTCACTTCCTAAGCATGAAAATAAGGCCTTATAAAAACTCAAGGAAATGAAGTAACTTCTACAATGGCCAAATGCCACAACTACAAGAAATATCACCTGCTGCTTCATCACCTCTGTGATGAAACCGCAGGGTGAATGAAAAAATACATAGAGCCTACGATGCAAACGGCTCAGAATAAAAGAATTTGCCTGCTACCTTCTCCACTAACCCCCATGCAGCACCCCGTGCACAACTCAAGGAGCTTCAGAGCAAGCAGAAAGAAAAGGTCAGCAGTGGATTGTAGCCTCCCCTCGCATAGCTTTCATGCTCTGCACCCCATCTGCCTCATCCCCATTGTCTTGAAGTCTGCAGCAGTCTGGGCTTAACAGAAACATGGAATTGAGCTTGGGGCCTATGGCATTCAGGATACGTAGAATCACATAGTGACTTGGGTTAGAAGGAATCTTTGTCCTTCAGGAGAGCAGAAGACAAGGTGCTGCAATGCTGATTACAGTGCTGGCACCAGACACAACTGCTCTGTCAAGGCCAGGGAGGACAGAGTAGAAAATGAAGAGATGCCAGTAACCCAAACACAAATAAAGTAACATGCATATGGTGCCAACAGCCAGGCCAGTAGGGTGCATATTGGATGGCGAGACAGGCTGGTGTGCACTGCGTGAGAGAGAGTTGGTGCCATGGGCAGTCAACAAAGCAAGACCTTGCAAAGGCTGTGCTGGACACGGCACTTCTGGCAGCTGCCAGCCTTCAAAAGCCACCCTGTCCTCATAAAACCTGCCAGTAGAATTTGCCTTTGCCAAATTAATTATATGAGACCAAACTGGCAGCCGGCACCTAGGGGCAATAAAGTTCTCCAGAAGATGGGCTGGAGAGCTGAATTGAGCCCTGCTGAGAGCATCACATCATGCTCCAGTTAGAAAGCAAGGTGCTTCTGCTGCCCAGCACCAGTGTACTCTCCTGGTAGAGGATCCCACCAAGCTGCATGGCCAAGGAACACTCGTAGAGGCTCCCTGAGCTAATGGGGTGTGAAGATGTGCTGACTGCATAAGTTAAATGCAAAGCATGCTCCACCAGCATCTTATGAGGTAGAACAAAGAGAAAGACAAGGCCTATCCATTTTAATAAGCTAGCTGATGCCTTGATGCTGAAGCAGAGCATTATTTTCAGCACTATTGTCTTGCTCTTGAAGAAAGACATTAAACAAAGAAAATTCAAAGTATTCTGTAAAAAGTATTTTCCTATTTCTAGAATTGAATCAGAACTGATATTCTAGTGTTCTTTTCTGTTTTATCTCTTTTCCCCTACCCATAACTTCAGCATTATAGTTTGCCAAAGCCCAAACCGAAGTGCCAAATCCTGCAAGGAACACCATGTTTCACAGCACATTTGCCCTACCACTGTCCCAGGAATGCATTTCTTGGGGCAGCAGGCACCTTGCACAGCAGGTAGAGGCCAGAGGCCTGGAGACTCACCTCCCATGGTCCCTGGGCTGCCTGGTGCTTGAGCTGGATCTGCCAGTCATCCATGTTGGGCTCAGCACAGTGGTGCATGGTCAGCACAACAGGTCGGGTTAGCAGCGCTCCTGGTGGGCCACAGCTCACCACTGGCGTCAGCAGCGTCTGGCTGTCTTCTACAGGTGGTCTATCATGAAACAGGGGGGAAAGACAAAAAGATACGTTAAGCTAGGTAGAAAGAGCAAAAATCCTGCTCTTACAGTGTGGTTTGTAAATGGCTGCATGCATGTGTGAGCTATCCCAGCCCAAACGCTGAGGAGTTTAAAACAGAGGAAGCATGAGTGAGTTTAACTACCCTGACATCTGGTGTATGACAAACACAGCTGAATGTGCCTCATCAGCTGCATCCCTGAAAAATAGAGAGGACAAATTCATGATCCAGAAACCAGCAAGCGAGAGCTAAGAAGTATTCAGTGAAATCTCACTTGGACATAGGATCAGCCCACGGGACCCTGCATATTCTGCACTGGCTGAGGGTTCAGTTCAAGTGTATTTGCAAACACTTCTGTTTATATTACAATTTGTTTTAGGGGGATTAGTTGAGACAAGAGTAAGTATTGTTGCAAGTCTGCATCAACCAAGAAAGTCAAAAAGTAGCTATGATCTTAGGGAACATTCTCAAGTAGGTTAAATCAGGACAAAAGCTGAGTTGAGATTGAATTTATTGCACCTATGCTGACTACTGCAGATACATTCACAGGCACATCCTAATTTTGCCACCTTAAGCCACCTTGAATAATCCATTAATCCTACAGAAAATGAAAGAAACTTATGAGAAATTCTTTTTTAAAAAGCAACAAAGGCCTTTTTGAAGAGTGTCTATCATTCATAAAAATGTTGGGGTTTCATAACAGTTTAGAAAAAATGAACAAAGATGAAAAATTGAGATGTACACAAATCAGTAAAACCAGATGATACACATCTGCGGATCCTTAAGGAAATTAACTGATGAGTTTACTAAATGACTTAACAATTGTTTCTAAAAAGCCATGGGCTGGAAACAAACAGCTGTGGTAGCTGTCTTTCAAGAAAACCCAAAATATAACAATCTGGATGGCTATCATGAATTACACTGGTTGTTTTAGCCTAACAAGACAAATGAAGCATTTAGAGCATCCATTCAGCTCCTGTTGCAAGCTATATTGATCTCTGGATTACAGGCTAAGATCAGAGGTTGTTCTCTTGCAAGAATGAACTGAATAAATCATTGAGCAAAATTTGACTAAAATTTTTAGGTTCAGCTTTTGTTTCTATAAGAAGCAATGAGTAGCTTAAAAATAGCTCAGAATGGAGTGTATTCATTAATGCCTTAACAGACATTTGAACATTCTCCTGCAGATAAGTCAAGCAGTTTCAAAAAAGTTATTTAAAAATATTAAGTCTTACAGGAAAGTTTTTTTGAAAATTACAATATTCGTCTGGAAAGCTACAGAAATGACAAGCTATAGACTTAATCATCTGTTTGACCTAACTTCATCTAAAGGACTACTGACCCATGAAGAAGGAAGAAAAATACAAATTATCATAGTTCTGCAGACTGAATTACAAGCCCAGCAGCCAAAAAGAATATAGGAGAAAATATATCATGACTGATGTAAAAAATTCATACGGTGTCTTCTAGGTGAAAAATGAGTTAAAATCAATAAAAATCTGAGCACTGATGCAAGCAGCTGAAAAAAAAAGCCAAAAGGTCATTAAAATAATAGTGTACTGATAAATCACACAGCTGAAAGTTGTCTCAAAGTAAAATTAAGTTTAGCCACTGCTCCGTGACAAAATTTTGTTAGCTGTTAAATTTTAGGACTCTGATGGAGGGCATGATTTTGTGCTGCAGCATTTTATATCTGATTAGCACAAGTATAAACGATGACACAGACATGAAATTAGGAGGCACTGCAGACTGAATAGTTAGTGAGGTAGATGGGAAGTGGATACAACCATAGACAGGAAATGCAAAAGAATAGCAAGGCTTAGCATTTTTCTCCAAGTTGGTAATGCTGCTGGTCCCAGTGCCTCTAAAGCCCACCTCATGCAGATGCTGACCCACCTCAGCTCTCCAAAGCCTGAACCAATTTTGAGACTGAAAGTAATCTAAGCCACTTTAAAGCTTTAGGAAGCTGAGATAATAATGAGTTGTGGAGAAGCTCTCAAGTGGTGTGAAATGAGGGCAAGTGTCATTTAATAGGTGAAATCCCAGCTCTGCTGAAGTCAGTGCTAAATCTTTCCCTTATTGCTGTGAGGCCAAGATTTCTACTCACAAAGTGGAAGACAATGTAAATAGCAGCACAATCATTAAATTTACAGACAGCAACACGTAAGGCAATATTGCGAGACGCGATGGGAGACAGGAAACCATGCAAATGATTGAGGATAAAAATATTGGTGGGAAGTAAAATTCATTCAGCGGCTCTCATTTCTGGTCTGAAACAAATTCCAAACACTTGTATTTAGTGGCAAGGTAGAACAGTAAAAGTGAAAAAGATATTGGGTGAACTTACGGCAACACAGCATGTGTCACCTTGCAATGTAACATGGTTGCAAAAAGCAAATCTGAATTCTGGGGCAGTAGGGGATGAGGTGTCAAAGCACACAGAGCTGCTATTCCCTTTCCCACACAGCTCTAACATGACTGCAGGCAGCAGAGTGTTCAGGGACTGTGTCAAGAGCTTGGAAATAAACACCTGAAACTTGGAGGAATGAAACCATGCAGCACCACAGAGAGCAGAGTCACCCTGTGGCAAATGAAATGAAGAAAGAAATGCAAATCTCTTGACTGAGCTTTCCTTATTTCTCATTGTTTTTAATTTCCATCTTAAAACAAAAGGATTATGCCTTCCTATAGCTAATGAGGACCAAAACAGATGCAGTAGACAAGATATATTATACAGGAGATATTAATCTTTCTGCTTCAAGACATAAACCCAGCACTAATTGATGGGATTAGTAAACAACAAGTTCCCCTGAAGACAGGTTATTGTGCAGCTATTCATTACAAGTATTTTTCCACTTTCTCTTGTAGCAGGGTGATGCAGCACTATCGAAGTCAGGCCTCGACTGCTGTAACCAAGAACTGTGATTTCTGTTAGAGATCACTTAAGATCTAGCACACGCTGACTCAGGGGACAACACAGAGAAAGGGACTTATCTCCTCCAAAGCAGGAAGACCTAGACAGGTTTAAGGCTGTTATCCAAAAAACACAGAACAAAAAAATCATCCAAGTGTGCTCACTTTAGGCTTCTATTAGTCTTTGGACTAGTTATTAAATACGATTGGGCTTCCAGCTGTGTCAGTATGACTCCAAAGTCACTTGGAGCATGTCCAAGTGGTAATGGGAGCTGCCTTTATTTTACAAAGATCTCGTCAAGTGTGGAATTCAACTTCATCTAGCATTACAATTAAAAGACACTAAGTGTAAGTGAGAAGTCTTCAGATATTTTTAGACCTCATTCCATATCTTGCACTGCTCATCAAGAACAGTCAACTTTTATTTAAAAAAGAACAAACTTTTATTCACTACATCCGGTCCTTTCGCAATCAAATTTGTGTTCTTAATGAGATCGCTCATTTGAAACCGACTCTCTGTAATGAGGTGGACTGTTTTCATTAAGGTAGCTGTCAGGCAGCAGATGTGAGCACAACCAGAGAAATCCTCATTCCTCAGCGGGCTTCCTGGCACCAAGCATAGATGTTGCAGGCAAGGACCACAACTCTCCAAGAAACAGGAAGCTCACAATGGAGCAGCGAACAGCATGGTTAACTTGCAGCAACAGATGGCAGCCCTCCTGCCCAGTTTAGCCATAAGTCAGAGGAAAGACATTTTATTTCTCCTTTTGTTGAAGGGTCTTTATTTTTAACACATGCTCCCTCTTAAGTATCAAATCTAATATTCTCAAATGGCATCCTGATTTGTCCAAAAGTCCGTCTATAGAAGGAATCACAAACCTGCAGAACCACAGATGATTGGAAGGGACCTCTGGAGATCATCTAGTCCAATCCCCCTGCTAAAAGCAGGTTTCCTACAGAAGGTTGCATAGGGAGATGGGGCGGGGGGTGGGGGGCAGGGAGCATTGAATATTTCCAGAGAAGGAGTCTCCACAACCTCTCTGTGTATTTATTTATTTTTTTTTTTCCCCCCAGTCTTCTGTCACTCTCAAGTAAAAAAGTTCTTACTCATGCTCAGATGGAACTCCCCGTGTTCCCAGTTTGTGATCGCTACCCCTTCTCCTCTCACTGGCCAACAACAAAAAGAGTATGGTCCCATCCACTTAATTCTGGCCCTTCAGATATCTTACATGTTGATAAGATCTGTTCTCAGTCTCCTCCCAGGAAGGTGATATGAAGAATTTTCTTCCCCTTCCCCTCCATCTAAAGCTAGGAGAGCTTGAACTCAGTAGGGGCTCACATGGGAAACAGGAGCTGCCATACAAGATCAGAACAGTGCCAGACCCTGTCTAGCACTGGCCAGTGCTAGATGTCTCCATAGGAAGCACAGAGTTCCCCTGATTTAGCACAGAGCTATATTTGTTCCATAACCTGAAGCAGTTAAGAAGTCCCTGAAATTTGGAGCTTTATACTCTTGCTATTTAATCCCTAGTTGCGTAACACCTAGGTTTTTCCAGTTACTCAAGGAAACAGTCTCTTGCTGGGTTATGGTCACAGCAGTGTGATTATTTTACAGCTCAAGAAGGGATCCCTTCTTGTAAATCTCAAATGTGGTGATACTACCCCAGACTAAGGGGGAGACCAACTATTATTACTAACAGAGATTAGTCCTGATCCTTTGAGCTCAAGACAGAAACTTGTCTGATTGCAGTGAAATATTCTCAGGCTTCTTATTTTTTCAGCTTTAAAAAAAAATTATATGTATGTACATAAACACATTAATACATAGATATCTTTTTCCCCATTATAAGTCACTTCTTAAAACACACGAACTTCTTCATAAGGCTAACACAAACCTCCTACACCAGTAAAGGGATCAGTGCCTGGTAGCCACCTACAATCAATTGTGTCCCATCTGACAAACAGAATGAGAATTAGTCAAAACAGCCTCCTAGACTACTGGGTTGAGAATAGAAAAAAACCCACTGTGCCATAGTCACACTAACACACACTTGAAGAAAACAACTGTCTCCAAGAGGCCTCTATTGCAAGCTATCAGAACCCGAATTACCTGCAGAAGGATGTTTCTAGGCCAACCTGCACACTCACACTCTTTGATGGATGCTGAAATGCTATAATGCGATGAAAAGTACAGCAATAATAGCAGAGTGACACAAGCCCAGGCTGCAGCAAATGAGAACAAGCCCAAATACAGCAGCCATAAAAGCAAAAACAAAGGAAGAAAAAACACTTACCTTTGGAAAGCCTCTAGTAGGCAGGGATCTCCAGCAAGATACTCCTGCCTCCACTACCAACCCATACATAAGGTCTGGGAAGGGATGGATGCTGGCTCCATCCCTTCTGGTTACTCAAGTGCATTGTATGCACCTGAGCTCCCCTGGGTGGTCCTGCCTTCTCACCAGGTGCTCAATTACTGGTTCGGGCCGTGAATTAGCATTTCTGCTATAGATATAAAATGAAATAAATACTATAGCTCAAAAAGCTTTCCTAACCAATCTGTGAGGCAACATAAAGGGTGATGTTACTGGGTTGTGACAAAATTTCTGTACTACAGGTTTCAGAGACTAACTGGGGAAATGGATTAGGAAAATGAAGGAAAAGAAAAGGGGAATTTGCAGGACTGAGGGATAACAGATTTCCTGTTTCAGTTTGACTGTTCAGAAGTTGTCTTGTATTTCTACAAAGTATGAGCTAAATCTTAAGTTGCTGAAGATATGCTTGTGATCTATGATGGAGAGCCTCTCTGCTCCTTCAGTGGTTTTACTTAGGGTAATGCTATGAGGACCACATTCTTGCCTTGTCAGTGCTGTTTGTATATCAAGAGGATTATAATTTCCATTTTACAGTGTCCTATCTGTGCCCTTTCAAACTACATCAACACACAATAGGATTCTTCAATCCATGCACATTTACACAGTGCACATGAAAATAAATATCAGCTCTCACAAGGTTTTATTGAACACACTCCAGTTACTGCTTGGCCACAAAAGCAAATGTCTGCAGTGAGTCCTCACTGTGGACTATCACTCTCTGCTGGAGTGCTGTGAGAGCACGGTAACAGATTTAAAAAATAATTTACGCCACATGCTAACTTGTGGTACCCATATGACTCCAATTATACGAAGCAACATCTGTGGCCCATACAGGCAGAAAGAAGAGCAGAAGTGCAGTTCTGTGGCAGAAAGGGAAGTAAAAGTATTTGGCAGTACAGTGCAATGGAAGCATCCCACTACATCTGGGTGCTGGTGCCAGTCAGCAAGTCAGCATTTTCTGCCCATGGGCATCTGGGAAAGAGGAACAGGTAACAGAGGAAAGTATTACAGTTCCACTGTGTTTAAGTAATATTTGGTGACTGTTCACCTCAGAGTGACCTGGGTGAGAGCTGATGAGCTCCATTTTCAATGTCAGAGAAGAGGTTGGTTTCCACTGTACTTTGGATGGGGGTCTGAAAAACTGTTATACACAAACCTCAAGGATTTGGATCCATATGCTCAGGATGCAATGATCACTACAATGGGATGAGCTACGGTTACAGCAGCCTGCCCTCTGCTAACTTCACAAAATCTTCATTCAAGTGAGGGTTCACACCTTTCCATACTTTTGCAGAGGTATTTCAGCATGCATACTCAGTTTGGTGGATGGCACCAAAGCATGCATTTCCCAACACTGGTTGACCTATACTTCTACCCCTTGTATGACCTGCTGAATAACAGCTATCATTAAGCACACAGAAGAGGATTTATGATCTTTGAAGCCAATAAATTAGGCTAGCATGCAGTGTTGGTTGTCTACAGTTGAATGAATAAAAAGACAGGGATTCCCTCCATAGCTGGCTGGAAAGAAAATAATTGCATGTACAGCTCCTGATGGGAATGAAACAGTTTTTTGGGGGAAGAATTAGATATTTAAAGGAGAGAGATTTGGAGGTGAGTTGAGTATCAGGGAAAGCCTTCTGATTTTCATTATTTTCTCCCTCCCTCTTTTTTCAGTAGTTTGCAAGCTTCTTTAAAACATAGACAAAAGTAATAGGAATACAATCAATATTAAATATGAACAGAGACTCTTCTTCTGTAGCTGCAATTAGCTATTTTCAAAGAGCAAGACATGAATAATGTATGCAAAAGTGCAAGGGGGGTATGTTACTTATTTCTTCCTTAAGCAGATTATTTTAACATGGGTGAAAGACTACCAAGCTAAAGAACAGTGTTCAATATCACACAGTGTATAAACAGATGTGGCTTAGCACATTATAAAAGCCATTAAAGGGCTGAGCCAAAAAATGTATCTAGCTATGGGGAGGACAAAGAGGCAAAGTACCGTGTAATGATTGCTAGTTTTCTATTTGTCATTCAGCTTTTGTTCATGAGTTTATTCAGGAGACTAAGATCTCACCTTCCTTTTCATTAAGTTTTTACTAAATTGCTTCAAATGGTATTTTGATCCTCATGGAAACTCTTTTTATGTCAAGGCTGCCAGATCACTCAAGAGACATTGAGTCCTGGAATATGAATCAGGCACATGTGCATATAGAGGTCAGCAAGCAGAAAAGGGATCATCTAGTTGCTGGCTCTGGGTGGCATGGTGGCATGGCATGGTGTGCTCTGGTGGCTCTGTCCTCATCACTTCATAGATGAGCCATGCCCATGAATAGAAAAATACAAATTCATCTTCCTTACAGCGGGAGAGGAGGTTTTGCAAAGCAGGTGGTCAGACACCTGTCCCTCTGTGGAGCTGATTTGTCACCCTGCTCCTCTGTTCTCTCCCTCATGAAATGGGTCTTTACTAGGACATTTCCTCACACTTTCTCTGCCGCATTGGATTCATGCTGACTTACTTTCTATGCTTCTGGCTTAGACTCAGCATCCTCCAGCTTGAGAGATTGCTGCAGAATGCAGTCCTTCATTAGGAAAGCAAAAGCTGGTTTTGTGTAGAGTTGTCATTTTTGCTCAAGTTTATCTCCAGGTCATCAAATAACGTCAACATAGCTGGCTTTACATAAGCATATTATCACAGATTTGTAGTTACTACATTTTCTTCCACGCCCTCTTACCCTCCATTAATGCAATCAATGCGCAAAGCAAGTAAATTTTTACCTCATGCTCTCCTTCCTGTGGACTGTCACATACATTTCATAGACTCTTCCTTGGGGAACAGCCCCTGCTGGGATCAGCAAACTCACTCCTGCAGAACAGAAGAGACAAAAAAAAAGATAAAACAGAAAAAAAAAAAAAAAAGAAAGAAAAAAAAGCCAGGTGAACCTTTGAAGAGGAGCAACAGGAGAAGCAGTAGATGACATCTGCAATGCTAGATTTTCACCCAGCCTCACAAGAGGGCTCTATATGATTTTAGCAGCTCTGGAGATAAAGCATTTACTGCAGCCCCGGCATCTCTTGTGCCTCAGCACAAAATGCTGCAGCAGAGAAGAGGATTTTCTTCACTTCCCTTTTATTTTATTTAAAGAGCAAACAGATGGTTACACTGCTTCTTACCTTGTAAAATAATGGAAAGGGAACAACTCTGAGTAAATTTTCCAACAGCTGTAACAGGATATATCTCCCTAGGCAATTCCTATTTAATTAAAAGCAGGAAAGGAAGGCAGTGGAGTACTGTACAAGGAAGCAACAAGAACTAGTTGTTTCTTGAAAGATGGGCTCTGAAACTGGCATCATGTTTGTTAATGCACTCAGCTTCTAATTAGACTACCAGGGGGACAAAATGGGGCTTCTTGGTATTTTGAATGTGCCTGCTTCTGTGGAATGGCTCAAAATTTGGATATCCAACCTTGAAAAATGTGTGCAACTACACTCTGTGCCCTTTTCAGGACTGATCAATTGCAAAATGCTGTTCTTACACTGCAAGGAACTCCCCAGGAACCAGAGGTCATGTCCTTGCATGGCAAACATAGCTCAGGAACTCTCTGGCATGCTGCTGGACACGGCTCTGCCAGCTGTCGATGCAGATGCGGGCTAGTGGGGAATCACTGGCAGGGGTTTGAATTCAGCTATGAATACGTAGCTCAGTACAAACCTATAGGCAGATTATTTCCATATATGCATACTCACAATAGAATTATTATAAAATCTTTTATGACCCTCTCTCTTCACTGTACACCGTTTGGTTACACTGGAAACCTCCCATGTACTAGAGTTGTACTGGGAGTCAGTTCCACAACTGGCTTTGTACGGGAAGGATTAGCTGTGAAAGTGTTTTCCATTAAGGTTTTCTGACTTGTTTCCTTACAGGACTGTTACAACATCCCTTTGCATGTTCTCAGATGTAGAGACAGGTGTAGGGTACATGAAGGACTTTGATCGTCTTGCTACAAGGATATACATAAATTCATCTAGAAGCAGCACAGAGGTGTATGCAGGAGTGGTAGACAGATTGATATATCTTCCAAAACTTGTTTTAATAATTTTGAAGAGATTACAGTGATGAATAAGCATTTCTTTTTCTTTACAAATTGATATTAATATATGTGAATTAAATATGACTAATAGACTTTGCTGAACCATTCACCACCACGGCATAAGAAACCTGAGTATTAATGCCTACTCTCAGCTGCAGCTTAGAGAACTGTGAAATCTAGGATAGTATAGCATGAATTTTCAACATTGCTCAGCAGTCTGTATCAGATGTCTTAAAGCAGTTCAGCTTCCAATTAGGCTCTATGTGAAAAGGAGACACTCCTCCTCAAAGAGGAACACTACTGCTTATGGCCCACTTTTGGCTGCATTCTGGGCAGTATAGGTCTGTATCCTGAAAGGAACAAACTAATCCTATGCCAACCAGATGCTTTGCTTTCTCCATAACATCAATGAACAAAAAAAGGATCCAGTAAAGAAGCAGGAGACAAGAAGTTTTTTCTTGGTCTGGGCACTGTGCTGTAAAATGACCAAGAACTGAACACAAAATACAAAGTTAGAAGCTGTGAGACTTTGAGCTATATGGTCTCACATGGGAGCATCTAGGTGTAAAATTTGGAATAAAAACATTTCATTTATGAACTAAATAGAAGCATGGCTTTCCTCAAAAACATCTTAACATATGAGAATGACTGGCAGCACTTCAATGCCCTGTAACATTCTGTTAAATAGGCAGCCAGGATTTTGGGAAAGTGAACCTTGAAATATTTCAGTTAATCTGATTGAGTAAAACACATCCGTTCGTTCTGACCAAAGAAAAGGCAAACTCCCTGGAGTGACCTTGTTTTTCTCTGGTATACAAGAAAGCTAATTCTACTTAAACCCTTGAAATATGGCTAGCACTTACCTGAATTGGGAATTACTAGGTGGCCCCCTAAGGAGTTGAAGGTCCCAAATGCAGTGCAGGATGGGTCTGTTTGCCGTGCAAGGCTTTGGTTCTTCACATTCAATGTCTCATTCTCCAACAGAGACTGGGTAATCTGTGGGGACAGCTTGGAAGAGAAGTCAGAGAGTTCATCCTGGGGGGTGACTGCTCCAGAGGTGTTATAAACTTTGATCTTCAGATTGGGCAGTGGGTCCAGGATCGGAGAATTGGTCATTGGAATTTTATCAGAGACATCATGCAAGGCATACACAGGACCCCTGTACATGGCTGCAGCAGAAGTGAGGTCTGGTGGCACTGCCAAGAGGTCTGCATTGGAAATGAGAAAGAAGAACCATATTGCTTATGATTACTTCTCTAACCTGACGACTTTCTTCTGCTTAATGATTTGGTTTTGCATTCTGTTCTGCTCATACCAAAGGGTAAGATATACAAGGTACTTGTAAACTGACCTTCATACCTTTTCCAGGTACCTGTATCTAGCAACAGCCCACGGCTTGTGTTGCCTGAATTGCTCTGGAATCTAATCGTTTTACAAAATTACAGCACATTTCTGCTGTAAGGATTTTTCACTGGCATTATTTTTCAGGCTGTGCTCAGATTTCAAGTGTGATATGCCTAGCCTCATGGCAAGGTGTTTTCCATGCTCAATAGATATAACAGTATTAATTAATACTCCTACCTTAAATGCTAAGAGATTCATTAAGGAATTTCTCTGGCATAAAAACAGAATTTCTGAATTAGCAGAAAGAACAAAGCTATGAAGTCCTCGTGCCCGCAATTCCCAGTCAGTGTAGAAACAGTACCTGCATCACACAGAAAATGACACTTCTGCTAACCTTCCTTATAAGAGCTCTTTTGTAATCTCATCTCTTTATTTTGATTTACTTTTCATAAACATGTATTGGAAGAAAAGAACTCTTCAGCTTAAACGTGGGGCTTGAAAGAGCCAGCCTTAGCATATGACTGTTTGTTTCCTGGACACCAAAGCACGGAAATAATCTATTATGTACTAGTGATATAAAATGTTAATTATTAAATTACACCACAACCTCTTCTACATTGTCCATTGAAGGTACAGTACTTCTTTAACTATGCACTATTTATGCATGTAAGACAGGGCACAGTAAAAGAGGCTATTAGTGAAGTAAAAGGGAAGCAAACGTGATAGAATTATTGTTTCTGTGATTAATCCTGCCTCCCTTGTTTCTGTCTTAGCTTTGCCTTTGATGTAAATTTGAGCAGGACCTGTATTTTTATAAATGTCTGTTTCACTCTCACATTCACATTCTCCCTTTAGAAGTTAAATTCCTCTGCTGTATGTTCCTGAGCACATCTAAAAAAAGCTACTGCGGGTTTTTAGTGCTTGACCATCAGAAACAAATGGATATAATCTTTCTCTCATTTATGAAGTGCCAACAGGCATCCTTCAGATATCATTCATACAGCCCTAGAGACCATATCCTTATAGTATCCCCCTGAATTGGTCAACATGGAATGAAGTGACAACTAACCTTGCCTTGCAGCCTTGATGTTAACAGGCTGAAATCCCCCATTTAGCGCCGAGGAGTCGATAATATCTGACTCAAAGTCACGGTGGTTCTTGCGATAGACAAACAGGGCCACAACCACAGAAATAGCCAGGCACACGATCACAGCAATGACAATCCCCACGTAGAGAGCAACATCATCCGAGTCAGGTGCAGCTAGAGGAAGAGAGGCAAGAACCTTGAAGAAACATGCTTCTCACAGGGTCTTTTGAGAAAATACATTCTTATTATTCCCGTTTCCTGCAGATATTTACTACCTTTTTATAGGTTAATTTAAAATCCATTTCTAAAGCTATATAACAGGTCTATGCCCTTTTTATGGGAAATGATCTCTGTTTTCTCTTTAACTCGTGTTCTATTTCTTTACCTATCTACTCGTTCATCTATCTAGCACCCAGGCAGTGAAGCACTAAACAGAACACTCATAACACAGTTAGTCTCATGAAACAAATTCACCCTATGAACTAAAACAGTATGTCTTTGAGATATAGCATCATAATATTAGTATTTAATTGTTTATCTATTGGTGCAGATCATGTCATGTGTTTTTAAACTTCAGAAGCCTTATTTTTTAATTAAGAAAAAAAAAACCACAAAAAAGTCCAATTTCTATAGAATGCCTATAGAATGTATTTTGTGATTTCTGACTGATAAGGTGTTGAGCCATTTTCTTTTGCCTTTTAAAAATGTCCAGGAAAGCAAAGAATCAACCACTGAATTCTCATTACTGGCACTAACACATACGTATTTGGATAAAAGCTAAAGCAGGCATGAGAAATAATGTGGTAATTTACTAAAAGGAACCCAGATTTATTACAGCTGTCTTGTGAGAAAATGGCTCTGATATTTCTACTAGCTGCTTATACCATATCTTCAGCACTAATTCCAGGGTAATCTCCAGCATCATTATCAACTAGACTTTTTTCCAAAGGGCCTGAATACATGATCAAAATTTGATGTGTTTCTACACAGTGAAAAATCCCAGTAGCAGAGACAATGCAAAAAGAAAATGAAAAATCAAATCAGACCTTTTTAGCAGCCCATTTTTGTTAATTTAAAACATATGAAATCACTTTTATTTCATGTTTTGCTCCCCACCTTTTAGTCATTTAAGCTAAGCTGCCCTCCAGCACAGAGGTGAGAGTTGGCAGATGTTGAAAAAGACTGATCAAAGTCCATCAGCCTCTGGCTATGAAACTTTCAACATGCCAGCCTCAAAACAGCAGGACTTACATCCCCAGCGGTTCAGGAAGCAGATCTCTGAGTTACAGCTCAATGCAAAGTTATCCCTCCACCACATTTCTTCCAATTGCTAAGGAAACACTAACGAGAGAGAGGGTTCATTCTCTCCATTTTCTACCTTTGATGCAGCAGCTTCTCCCATTTTCCCTAGGTAGAAGGGCTGTGATCAGCCTATGTCAGCCCACTGATAGGGAAGCCGCTGCTAAGCAGGCAGCTTCATTTGCCCAATCCATCTTTGCCTGGGCACAAAGAGCTGGCACAATACTAAAGCTTGACCCCAGGAACAGCATTGCATTAGTGTCCAGGAACGTAAAATGAAACATTAAACTTACAAGAAAATCCATATTCATTCTGGGTTCTCTGTTCAGTTGAAATAGGATAAATGAAACCTTAAAAAGAAAGAAATTAAACAAAAATGGGAACAAAATCAAATTAATGAGGAGAACAAAAAAAGGGAAGCATGAAAAATGGTTTAATTAAAAAAAAAAAAAAAAAAAAGGAAAAGAAATTGATGGCACTTTAGAATTCCGATACAGCACAGAATTATGATTTTGCATCCTCTGTCTCCTCCAGAGCCTTACTAAGAATTACTAAGTAGGCAGATTGAATTTCTAAGCCAAAATCGGTCTCGAGTCACTAACTTTGGAGTGCTTAAAGTCTTTCTTTTATAGAGCATAAACTCTAATGGATCTAATTTATTTCAGACATCAAGGGTCATTAGCATATGGAAAGTCTTTTTTCCCTATCCCTGCCATATGCTTTAATTCCCAGGACATGTTCGGTGAGGCTCTAAACAGTTTTTTTATTTAATTATAGTAGCTTGCTGTTGATCTAATAGAGCTAAAGGAGACCTGTCGTCACCAGTCAGAGGTTAAATACCCATTTGCTGTGCAGAGTCCATGCAGAAAGCCCTCTTTCTGGATTTCCATGGAATTATTTTATCCTCTCTTTAAGACGCGTTCAATAGGAATTCCTCAGGGAGCAAAGAATTTGTCAGCAAACAGGAAACTGAGTGGCTTCTCTTCAAAATTATTAAAAAATCAATAAGGCCCCTGGGGTCATAGCATTATTTATTTGAAATCTTTGCAAGCCCTGTATATCGACAAAATGATAACACAATTTACAGTTATATTTCAGAATGGCTAAATAAGAGAGATCGTTTCTTTAGTCTCTTCTTTCTGCAGTTTGTACAGCGAAGCATGCTGAGGATGTTTGGTTTTACAGGAGATCAATGGAGTTGCTGAGTATCTCTCAACCCCCCTCCATTTACATGGGGAGCAAGGGAAAGGCTCTGAGTCGCATGCTGTTGGAGAGGGAAATGACAAAGCAAGGGTAAGTCACTGCCATGGATGGAATTAGAGTGGGTGCCAGGGAAAGGGTCCCCCTCTTCCTCCTTTGAAGGGAATCCCACAGTTCTCTCCATCTCCCCCATGCCTTGGGGCACACTGCGTGAAACAAAACTGGACTCCTGGTGTGCGCTTAATGCACAGGACCACATTATAGGCAGATCAGAGTAATAATCTCCAGCTCCCAGAAATGCTGAGATCGGTGCTCAGCATCTGTTGAGCTTTGCGTATTTCATCCTGCTTGGCTGTGCCGCTTGCTAATGAAGATACAGTCTGTCCCAATTGCAGATATAGACATACCTCCCCACAAAGTTTCCAGACATTAACTATCACATAAATGCTACCTCAACTGAAATGCCAGAGCAAGAAGAGCTGCTTTCTGATGATGATGTTTTTTCTGAGGCAGTATGGGATAGACTATACTGCCTGTAATATCTACTTAAAACTTTATCTCACCGCAATGATTCCAGCCTTACAATTGCTTTCAGAAATATTATGTTCTCACACTCATTTATTTTGTCTGTTGAGGGAAGCTCACTTACGTGTACTCTCAGCATGCACACTAAATCTTTTGTAATAACCGCTTCCCGCTTCTACCAGTGCGCTTGTGGCATCAGCCATAAAAAGTCAGGCAGGTAACTTCTGAGGGCTTGAGTGAGTGCTCAGCAAGTTGGAGCATGAATTTACCGTGAGCTGGTTACTTCCCAATTATTCCCCAGGTGAATGCTGAGGTGCATATTTAGTCCACCTAAATTCTAGCGGTTTCAGCTATAACGTTATGGCAAATACTTCCTATGGCAAGATGTCCCTGGAGAGCAGGGGGCAGCCAGAAGAAATGCAAGGTACAAAAACAAGGCTGAATTTAGGCTGACTGCTTCTCTAAATGCCTCATACTCAAACCTGCTGGGTTTGGCATTTGAGGATACATGTCATTCTGCCACACAGGAAGTGATTTGATATCTGCCACTCAGGGCACAAAAATTGGCACTGCCTGGATTAGCTGTGAGTTTACTGACAGCCTTTTCTATTCCCAACAAAGTAGAAATCCAAGTTCAAGTATTTTCAGTGAAGTAACCAATTGTGGTCTCAAAATACATTAAAAGAAGCAGCAATCTCTTCATAGACCCTATTTGTTGCAAATACTTATTTGCCTCTGACAATTTTGCATAGATTCTCATACTGATAACTGCAAAGAACAGCCTTGCAGCTGCCAAAGACTGATACCAAATCCTTTATCAGAAACGCTTTGTGTCTGTATTCAAAGCACACCTATTACAAAGAGGAGGAAAAGACGAGGAAAATTTTTGCTTCCATTACTCTTACAAACTGACATATTTTACAAATAGCATTTGATTTTACCCTTCTGTGTGTACCACTACTGAGTGGCAACTTTCTGAGCAAACCTTTGCAGCTGGAAAAACGTGTTTTGAATAGAAGAAAGAAGAGGACGAAGTGGAAGGGCCAAGGACATGAGGCGCCATGCTGAGCTTTTAGTTGTGGGCATACCAATTTTTTGCCAAGGGCCGAGTCATGTCTGAGCATGCTGGCCATGCATAGATAAATAGCCATCCGTGCTGGAGACTGCAAAGTGCAAAGTCCTGGTCAAGAAAACAAGCTGGGCTGTGGTGGCCATAAGAACTCCCCTGGTTGAAGCAAGAGGACTCCTTACCTCAGGTTGGTTATTAAGCATCCCAGCCAAGCTGGGCCATGTCATCAGTCCGCTGAACAACACATCAAATGCCAGCTCCATTTGTGCTTGCAAATTAAGCATAATTGTAGGAGATGACTCAAACACGGCTACTATAGTCACCCTTTGCCATTTGGGCAGGAGCTTCTAGAATAAAACAATTTTTAGGTGCTCCTTTGTCATGAAAGAGTGTTCCAAAAGGGAGTGGGCCTTGCCATGGCAATGGAATGAAGCTGCACACAGCAGTGCTAGCTGCACAGAAGGCTGGTCCATGGCCATGCTCCCAGAACCACAGCACAGGCGCTGCTTTAGAAAATAGGCTTTCATACCAGTCCCTTTGACTACACCTTCGAACAATAAGAAAGAATGTTTTCATCGAATAATGAAGCAAACCTGCTGGGATTGATACCTGTAATAATGAAGAATGACTCCCTTTTTCTCTTCAAAGTAACTGCAGCGAATAGACATCTTTTTCATTTTTTAAAAAATTTTGTTCTCCCCTGTATCAACAGCATCGCCTGGCAAAAACCTCAGGGACTTCTACCAGGACCATCACATTTTTTAACAAGGGTAAATGTAGAAAGGTGCTGTTGGCTTTGACTCTAGGAAGGCTGCCGATGCTGCTGACTCACACACGGAGCAGCTGGCTTCACAGTGAGCTACTTGCTTTGAGAAAAATAATTTAAGCTTCTTCCTACAGCTTGTTGGGAAATGTACATTTTCAAAGCAGCTTTTGATTTTTTGTTGTGTAACTTACTGCTGGACGAGTCAAATAGTAATAAACATACTTTACACTTGCATAGTCCCTTCTGTTTGAGGATCTCAGCGACTTACCAACAGTGGCTATTTATTTCCCTTATTTTACAAGTATTATACTCTAT